ATGGGCAAATATTTTTTCTACTACAAACATATCTACTTCTTATATAGCAACACTAAACCTAGAAGAGGTCTGATAGTCTACTCTAGTAGAGTTTTGGGCTGAGGATAAATTAGTTTTGCTATAGGTCCCTATAATAATTTATATAAAATGTTTTAATTAATGTAATACCAAATTGTTCAATAAAGACTGAGGCCAGGCCTTACTTTTTTAATAAAAAAAATAAAAAATAAAAGCAACATTAGATGAGTGATTTTTTGTAATATAATTAGATGACATTTTATGCTATAAACTGCTTTTGTGGATTAGTTTTTTAAAGAGTAAAGTGTTGTATGATTAATATGTTATCGATTATGAATTTTAAAGAATGAGTGGATATTTATAATAGAAGTAATAAGAATAATAATGGTGACGGAAAAGTGCATCCTATTATAGGTAATATTTGGTTTTAAGTATTTATAGAGAATGTTAAGTAAGTATATTGTGTTACTTATGTTATAAAGGAATAATTTTGGTTATATCCATAATTAAATATTTGTTTATTGCATATTATTTATATGAAAATTCATTTATGATTTTAGAAATTTTTTTTTTTGGAATATTCTTTAGTTTGAATTAAAGTATTGTTTATTTTCGAAATAGAATGGTTTTAGTTCATAAAGTGAATGATTAGATTTATGCGATCGATTAATTTAGTATTTAATTATTAATTTTAGAAAATGAAATCTTGAAGGATAATAAAAATATTACATTGAATCAGATAAATGATCTGAACATATATTTAGGGTATGTGGGGTAAATCATTCAATAAAGAGGCTCTATATATTTCTGTGTAGTATATACTTTGTATGAAATGTAATATAAGATAAAATATGGTGGTTGGTGAGTTACGAAGAGGACTAGTTATAAAAAATAGGTTTTGTTATACTACATAACGTTAGAGTGTTAAATTACATATATGTTTTAAATAGTTTTTACAATGAAAATTTAAGATCAGGGGTCATAAGATAAAGTAATATTATAGATTCATTTTTTTGTAATTGTAAATTGGTTTATATTAATTGTAATTATACTATTACAAACTTTTTTGCTAAAGTTAATTATAGACTTCACATAAAAATAATAGAGTATATGTAATGAGCTGTCATATTATGTGTAGTAAATAGGGTTTTATTTATTATTGAATTTACTTCTTACTGATAAATAAAACTATGATATTTATAGTAAATTATTATATTAATGTTAAGATTTTTTTAGTTGATTATATATTAGAAGAATTAATACTTAATGGTAAGAAAAAAATAAATGATTTATATAAAGAAATAAAGACATTTGTTTCAAGGACTTTGTTATAAAAATATTATTTACATAAATAACGTAAATATTAGACAATCATGATATATAATAATAATGGCACAGTAAAATCGATTTTATGTATTAAAAAAATAGTAACGGTACTATGAGTACATCAAACATCTGGATAAGTTTTAGAAGAGCTGTTCTATGTGTACATTCTTTAATAAGTATGAATTTAACACAGAGTGCAGAAGATTAACATATATTTAAAATTGATTTATCGAATGGTCGTAAAATTAGCAAATCATCTAACCTCTGTGTTCTAGAAAGCATTACATATGCACTATTATTTGCATGTCTTCCTGATAGGTCAACAATAGTTTTTTGAAAGTATGCTCTTGAAATTTAAAGTCAGTAAACATATATGCAGGTGCTAAAGGAAGTTAAAAACACTGAAAATTTCTATGAATTTTAGTTTCATTATGTCTTCAAATCGAGTATACGCAGGCATGCTTGATAGGATAAATAGGTACATAATTAGATGAAAGTGTTTCATAAGCTCCAGGTTTTTTACCAGTTAATTCAACGATAACATACTTAGAAGGACCTTTCAGCACTATAGTATTTCTATATGAAGATGAAAAGTTAATTGAATTTTGGTCATACATGATTTGTCAAAGAATTCTCAATGAGCCATTAGCCATATTATCATTGGTGCAGATGTTAACTATTAAAATAACCTTCATATTTATCAATAAGGGTAAGATACCACATAGTGTATTCTCTTTAGTGTTAGACACTGATAAAAATTTTAGATGATTATTCCTAGTAAGAATTTTTCAATTATAGGAGTCTGTCACACATGAGTAAATAATAAACTGATTATTATCATAGGCATGTTCTTTAACAGCTTCAAGATTGAGCTGAATGCAAAGATTATTTTTTGTCACTAAAAAAGTGGCATCTCTCTATTCTTTAGAGTAGATTAAGTTATTACTAAGAATTCTTGATCGTAAGGCTTCTAGTTGAATTTTTAAAATATTATTATGATGCATATTTTTAAGTATGTTTGCATAAAAAGGTTTATTTATTTGATGCATTTGAGTTTTTAACTAAATAGCATGATTAACATTTAACCAAAGGGTTCTGCCAGTTGCATTGGAACAGTTTGGAAATTGATCGATATCAGGTTAACATTACATTTTCACTTTATGCTTCTCGAAGTTTCATTTTTGACTGGAGGAAAAAAATAGAGAATTTTATCAGGCATATATAGTGCTTTGTCTAAAACTGGTGGTAGTTGCATGAAATTACTAGCAAATAAAATGTTAATCTCAGTAAATGGAGTAGAATCATCATTTGCTTTTATTTTTTTTGTAAAAGTGTGAAATCGTGAAAGAAGATTTTGCCTGATCATTGAAGTTTCATTTATGATAGCATACTCTATTGTAGATCAGTATTCTTGAAGCTGGCATATATATTTTTCTGATAAATTAGAACGAGTATTTATACAATTAGAACGAGTATTTATACAATTAGAACGAGTATTTACACTTTTATCGAAACTGAACCACATGCAGAGTGGATATAGTTCCGCATATATTTACTGCTACAATACCAATAAGCGCTAAAACTATCAGAGTGTTACTTTGCGAAGTATGCTCAAAATATGAACATATTGCATAAATAACTTTGGATTTACCAGTTCCACCCGCACCAGTAAGATAAAATAATAATTGAAGTAGTTTATCCTTGCATAGTTGATTATTTTTTTGATGATGTTTGCAGAATAAGTAATAAGCCATTTTCTGTTTATTGTTTAAGCCAGATGCAGATCTTTCTAAGAGATCTAAAGTTTTCATAATAGTACTATTTAAGGGAGCATTTCATAATTATCTTGCCAAAAATTCATACGAGTATGCATTAGGTTATTATCTTTTTTTAGAATAGGATTAATATTATCTCATAGGGTTGCTTTTCAAGAGGAGATTGTATTCTGCCAAATCTTTATTACATAATTATCATATGGATTGCTTGAATGAATAGCTTCTGATGCAAAGTTTTCAGTAAAATTTATATTATTTTTACTTGGTAATGAAAATTTTTTTATAGAAAATTTATATCGAATTCATAAAAAGTTCATATCAAAGTTAATAGCTCTATCGTTTTTCAAGCCAGATCTGATAACTGCTTCAGAATTTAGTCAAAGGATAGTGTTATTAGGAGAATCATTCATAGCTAAATTATTATCATCATCAGAAATATCTAGTTCATCAACAGTGTCATATCCAGAAACACAACAATCTATATGGCAGGCCTTTGCAAGAATTGGTTCTTTTAATATGTTTTTTTGTAGTTTTTGATTGAGCTCTGTTTCTTTGGAACATCTATGTAATAATTCTATATTATAGATTACAGATTTTAAGTGTTAAGATAAAGAAGAGCTATTTAGAAAAACTTAACACGCTTTGGTCCAAGTGTTATAATCTTCACGAAGGTCTTGAACAGTTTCTCAGGTCTTAAAGAGCATAAGAATGCATAGCCCATAATGTTTTGCATTTTCCTCATCATCTTTTTTAGGCAGTCCCTTACTATACAGTATGACTACTCTCTTAGAACCTTTTTGTCTGTATAGTTGAATATGTGATTTACATTGAGGGTGGATTTCATCAGGAACATAAATATTGTCTTCATTATCTTCACGGAACAAAAAACGATCTACTTGTGACCTGTTTTTCTGGCCTAATAACATAGAAAGCTCATGGGCATTTATCAGAACTTTCTTAATGACAAATGCATAGTCATAAAGGCAAATATTACATAAATATTTACCCTGAAATTGATAATCAATACAGAGGTTTATAGCAGTTAATATGTTATTGTAAGAAGATATCATAAAGAATTTACATAATAAATTGTAATCCTCTTGTCTTCTGTATTGGATTCATCATCCGATCCAACATCAGTTTCAATAATCTTATTTGAAAATCGATAAAGGTTAGCCCATTCTTGCATGAGATAAAATTCAAAAGTTTGAAGATGGATCGATACAAATTTATTCATGATGTAATGATCACAGATACCCAACAAGTAAACAGAAACTTGTGGGCTTGTAAGCTCCATTTGTCTAGCCATTTTGTTAAGGCATTTCATTACAAGGTTACACGATTTGAATACAAAATCATGTGAAATTTTATCAGGTAATCGAGTTAAAAAGTTTTGTAGAATGGAAGCGCATATTAAAAAAGAACTATGTGTGCTAATATCTGATTTGGTAACATAATTAGTAATATAATAAATGTAAGCCAGAGCAAGTTTCTGAGTGGATATAAATTTAATATTATTATTCCATCTGCATGTAGCTGTTATATAAGAGTTATGATTGTTAATAAAGGTGCTCGCATGTTGAATGGCAATTATATCTTGTTCACGAAAAATCATACCAGGTGGATCTACAAGCTCTCGCAAAAAGTCAAATCAGCAATTTTTTCGTAAACCACAGTTATATTTCTTGCATGAATGAGTGCAATGATGAAAAAAAGTATATTTACAAATTGCAAGTAGGTCTAAATGAAGTTCTTCTTCAAAATTAGGTAACTTGGGATTAGGTATGGATAAAAAAGATGGATGCTGTTAACATTAAGAGTTTTACACATTTTTGATCATAACTTTTGATGTACCAAACCAATTTGGATGAAACAACCACC